AGGGACCCAGACATGGCCTGCCCTCCTGCACAGGGATGAAGTGACTGTGCCGTGCTGCTGTGTCCAGGGACGCGGGGCCTAACGCCAACCTCAAAGGAAGATCCAGCTCCCCATTCACTGCCTGGGTCGCAGTGTGGCTGTGCCGAGTCCTGCCAGCCTTCCCTTCCCACGTCAATTATTTCTTTTGTGGCTCACAGGTTGTTCCAAAGCTAGATCACACTCCTGTTACCATTCCACGCTTCCAAACTTAAGATTGCCATTGCTACACTGTTTTACTTTAATTTCAGGAGCTCTAATTGAGTTTGTAAAGCATCATTTTTCCTCTGAGCTGAGAGCAAGATGACAGTAATCTCCCTGATCGATGCCTGTGAAGTTTCCAAGAGAACATGCTGAAATCCCAAAGGCAGTTTTATGGTGTGAATTCAAGATGCTTCCTATTTCTAACTAGAAAGCCTTTTGATTTCAAGTATTCATAGAGCATTATTTCTATGTAAGATTCTGAAGAACACTTTGTCCTTCACGCAGATATAGATTTGAAACACAGATTAAGGGGAAAAAAAACAATTGATGGGATGATGCTGGCAGCAAAGGTTTTAGTTTTAAAAAAGAAGACCATTTGAAGGGGGAAAATAAATGTATTATGGGAAGACAAGAAAAGGGTCAAAGAAAATTGAGTTGTACTAAAACGATGTCTTAATTCATCGTGTAAGTTTTACTAAGAACCAGTCAGATAAATGGCTATAGGAGATGTGAACAAAATTGTTACTGAGGTTTCTCAAGGCGGCAGGTCCTTACAAAGCCTCTGACAGCGTAAAAAGTTTGCACTATCAAAAGCAAGTATTCCAGGCACAAAGATGTGATGCATTTCAGGGCAGAGGACCAGATTCTCTCATGCGTAGTTGAAGGCCTATTAAACTTGCTTGTGACATAAGGGGCTACAATTGCTCCTATGCTGCCCAACAAAAATGACTTTTATACAGGTTTTTGAGAACCTTCACCCAAAATTTAGGATTTGGAGGTAGGTTTCTTGAGGCTTCACCTTTACCAGTACACTAAACTTGCCTGGGACCGTTCTCTGGCAATGCAACCACCTGGCATGGGATTCAGTATGTCTCTGGGAGCAAGGATGTTTCTCAAGGAAGCACTTTGTAAAGGACTTGTGTGTGTTGATATCATCACTGTCACGGTGATACAGGTGCAAAACCATCCTGTTACAACACAACCACTTTACTCAGTCTTAGCAGTGATTGTTGTTCTGCAGCACATCAGAAGAACGACTGACACAGCTTCCTCCTGGGAAAAAAATCACGAAAACCTTCCCCTCCCACCCCAAATGAGCTTTCTTAGCTTAATTGACTTCAAGTACTTTTATGCCGTTCCTGTTTTTAACAGCTAGTCAAAATGAAATCACTTCTGGCCTAAAATGAATGATAAGTCGCAGGTAATGAAAAATCTGTACTTCAGACACTCCCACAATGAGTGAAAAAGCTTCGCTGAGGAGGGTATGGAAGTAATAAAGTTGTAATAAATGTCAGAAAGATGCGAGCTCTTTATTGGAGAAAACTCATGTACTGCTTTTAACAACTGAACCTGTCAGTTATATAAATGATAATGTGCACCGAGGGAAAGTAAGCTATAAATCCTTTATTCCTGAAATGAAATTCCATCAAACGTGAAGAAATAGGTTGGCGACAAAATTAATTCTCTGTTATGTCGAATATAGATGCATCTGGACAACTGTGTTTTGAATTCAGAGCAAAAAGAATCATAGAATCACAGAATGGTTGGGTTGGAAGGGACCTCAAGGATCATGAAGCTCCAATCCTCCTTGCTGTAGGCAGGGCCACCAACTGCACATTTAATAGCAACCCAGGCTGGCCTTGAACACCTCCAGGGATGGACGGGGCATCACAGCCTCTCTGGCAGCTGTTCCAGCACCTCACCACTCCCATAGCAAAGAATTTCCTCCTGACATCCAACTTAAATCTTCCTCTTTCAACTTAAAACTATTTCCCCTTGTCCTGCCATTATGTACCCCTGTAAACAGTTTGCTCCCCTCAGGGATTCAACCAAATTTGAATTTTCTTGCCTCACAAACGCTCTGCATCCAGAAGTGCCCGTGTCCTTCAGATCATTCTCGTTTTCAAACTGTGAACAATTTGGGAACGCTATTTTTATCACCGCTAACTGGTTCAGAGACCTGAGTGCCAGTTCCAGCACACATATAGCCAGACAGCAGCAGGCTGCTGCACTCGAGGAACCCTGAGAAGGAATGCTCTTTGCCATTCTCAAGGCAGGCTGTTTCGGTGAGTGAATACCTCAGGGTGCTCAGTAGCAACTTCTCATGCACTTCCCTTCCATTCTAGAAGGGCATGACCACTCAGAAGTAGCCTTTATACATAGAGAAGGCAAGACAAGGGCAGTTACTATGATGGAAAAAAATATAAATTAAAAAATGAAATGAAATCACAAAGATGACGTGTCTAGGAGGCTTGAGGGAACTGAAGTCAAAAGCAACAGAATCACTGCCAAATGTACATAAGTTATCATTACACACACCTGCTATATCAGATGAGAGGACTCAGTGCCATATCCTGCTTCCGAAAAGCTCTAAGATTTGTGTTTGAGGCATGAAGCATTTAAATGCAAGGGTATTTAAACCTTCTCATATAAGGCAGGGAAATTTATCTCAGAGGTTATCCAATTTGTTTTCAAGTGGTAAAACCAGGCAGTGCAGTTGTAAAGGAAGCCGCTGTCGGAGGCGGTGTGGGATTAACGAGTGCAATAAGTGTGATGGCTTTCATATTACAAATGATAGTTCCATGAGTTTGATGAATAGTTACTTTTGGTTTACCTGTGGTCCTGCGTTTGAGAAGATAATACAGAAAAAGCAATAAAATTGAGTAAGTAGAAGAGCATAGGCTGCTGTTTGCTAAAAATAATAAATGGATTACACTGAAAGGCAGCACACATGCAATAACTGTCAGTCGGTTATCTATCAGCCCATTTTATTTCTATTGGGTGCTAGGAAAGAATACTGTATTTTGTGTAATTATCGATGTGAAATTCAGATGGAAATGAATCGGCTCTTCCTTCAGCTTTGTTTTCCTTTCTGCATATGACCATACACAAGTCAAAGGATCTGCTCCACGAGATAAATATACATAAAGTTTGTCTCCAACCTCATCTGCCAAGAAGAAAAGGTTACCTTCTGGCATGACAGATTGGTTGGAAGGTCACGGTAGATTTTCCAGTAGAGCTAGGAATACATTTTTTGGCACACTGATATGTATGTACGTTTTAAATAGCACAACAGAACATTTAAAAGTACTTGTCAAGAAAAAACACCGGTTGTATTTCAGTGCGATTCGGTTCCTGTTCAAGCTTAGTGGATGTGAACTTAGGCAGGGCAGAAAGCCAGCCTGCTGCTGAGTGGTCTGACTGTGCTGCTCATGCTTCTGGGCAGCAAGGGATGGTCTGCAATTCTGTTTTCTCTGGGTGGGAAAAAAGTCCTGGTGGGAAAATATATATATATATATATATAGGAAAAGAAGGGAAGATGAATAGTAGTGAAGATGCAGAATGGCTTCTGCATAATGGGAAACTGATGAGACCTGGGCTTCCCTTCTGCCTGGTAAGGGTGAGGAAAGATTGGAGCATATGAGATTGCAGAGACATTTGTCCATTGTTTTCCAAAAGACAGAATGGCAAGCCCCCCCAGTAAGAATACTAAGTGGCAAGGATAAAGCAAATGTGAAGCTGAAGTGCTTTCATACAAAAGGTACAATTATTCTTGGAACTCTGTGGCTCAAGCTGGTATTGAAACTAAAAGTTAAAAGATATTAAAACAGCTGCTAAAAGAAAGAAATTCATAGACTTTCAAAAAATAGATGCTACATGTAACAGTTTGAATCACAGAACCATACAATGGCCTGGGCTGCGAAGGCCCACAGTGCTCATCCAGTTCCAACCCCCTGCTATGTGCAGGGTCACCAACCAGCAGCCCAGGCTGCCAGAGCCACATCCAGCCTGGCCTTGAATGCCTGCAGGGATGGGGCATCCACTTGGGAAATACCTTTCTAAACTTTGAAGAGCTCCAATACCTAATGTCGTTATTAAAGGTGAACAGAGACCACTTGGCTCTTCTGTAGGCAACGTGCACTTCTGCACCTCCACACACTGTACAGAAAGCAATTAATGCTTACAACACCCATGTGAGGCTGGAGATAAGAGCGCTGCAATGCAGAGGAATTGACTTGTTCAGCCTGAGAGAAACACAACACGAAGGATTTCAGGTCCTGGGCTCTACGCACGCACCAGGCTAAGTTCTCTCCTTTGTCCATACTAAACCTGCATTGGGAATAATTTAATACTTTAAAGGCTGTACATCACACGCACTGAACTGCCTTTGCACCCCTGCGGAGGTGTTTTCTCCAAAGAGCAGCCAGGCAGTGGCACAGCTACCTATGGAACGGGGGGTCACCGTCCCTGGGGGTGTCCCAGAGCCGTGGATGTGGCACTGAGGGACGCGGGCAGCAGGCATGGCGGAGCGGGGATCTTAGCGGTCTTCTCCGACCGTGACACGTCTACTCTTCCCTCAGCGCAGTGCCCACAACCGACCCTCACAGCACGCGCGGTGGCACTGCGGGGCGGGCCGGGCCGAAGCCGCTCCCCGCCATCCCGCCCGCCGCTGTCGGAGAAGCGCCGCCTCGCACCCACGCTCCCGCCCATCCCTCGCTCCGCGGACTCGCTGCTCGCCGGGTCCGCCGTGCCGGGGCCGCAAGTATCGCGGGAGCCGAGCGCCGCCGCAGCCATTGGGCGGCGCGGCGGAGGAGAGGCGGCCGCCGAGCGGCTGAGCCAAGCGCCGGGCAGCGGCAGCCGCATCCCCCGTCCCGTTCCCGGCGGCCATGAGGAGGAGGCGGGTGGCAGCGCCGCGCTGCGCCCCGGGCGGGGGCGGTGCTGGGGGGCGGCGCTGAGAGGCGCTCCTCCGTGAGGCGCTCCGCCGCGGGTGCGCGTTGCCCGGAGCCGGGTCGGGCGTTTGAGAACTTTCAGCGCGTGGCGGCTGCCGCCGGCTCAACGCTTCCGCAGGTACGTCTACACCGCGGCTCAACCCGTCGCGGGTTTCCCCCTCGTGAGCTCACAGCTATCGGAAATAGGACGTGCGGGCGTCCCCGGGGAGCGCGCCGTGTGCGGCGGGCGTGGGGTGACGGCTTGGGCGGCGCGCTGCCGCCTCCTGGATGGCCGCCCCGGGCGCGGCGTCGGCCGGAGAGCCGCCTGCTGTGAGCCGCGTCCCGCTGCAGGGCTTGGGCTGAAGGGGCTCCGGAGGTCCCTTCCTGCCAGCACGGCGCTGTGGTTCCGTGCTTTGCGGAGCACCGCGGAGTTGGGTATCCCCGCTTAGTTCTCCGCTGTGGAGCGAGAGCGGGCTGAGGAATTTGTTTGGGCGCTTCTGGAAGCAGCGAGAGGAAAGGCGAATGGGTAAGGCGCGCTCGGGATGATGCAGAAGAAAGCAGGAGGGCTTCTGCCGCTGGGTGCTGGGCACCATGCCTCGTGGGGAGGGAATGGGCCTTCGGTCTCGGGCTGCTGTGGAAGTAGGCTGTGTAAATCCCTCCGTTGGCCGTGCGGTGCGTGCTGCTGGAGCTGTGAGGGCTGCCGCAGGAGCTGCGCTCAGCTCCCAAACTGCTGCTCCCTTTCCGGGCGGTGCTCTCGCTTGGCCTGTTGCTGCAAACCAAGGAGTGTAATGTGGCACGCGTTTGGGTTCCCCTGGGATCAGCCGTGCGAGGTTTAGGAGTGATTTCTTCACCGGAGCAGTTCTCGAAGAACCCGGATCTGTGGCTGCGTTGGTGTGTGAGAGCTCGGTGTGCGCAGGTTGCGGAGGATGAGTGTGCGTTACGGCGAGAGCTGGTGCCGGTACGGCAGGGGGAAGCAGGCTGGCAGCCTCCTCTGCCTGTAGGTGAGTGTTAAGGAAGGACTGTGCCCAGCTTTGCCTCTCAGGCACGAATGAAGCTCTGTGTGAATGCAACCTTGCGTGGCTCCAGGCTGTGCTGTTAGCTCCTGCCTCCCCCTGCAAGAGAAGTCTGATTCTCCCGAAGCGTTTAGGAAGGGGAGAGGTGGCATATCTGTTCCCACTCTCCGTGCCCCGAGAATCCTGTTGTAGGATTAGTGGGTTATAAAATCATTCCTTACCGTCTACAGCAAGAGCTTACTACCATTTTATGTTTTGAGCATTGCTCGCAGAATCAGAGCGCGCTGCTCTCCTCATAATGCAAAGTGCTGCTGCTTTGGGTTGAGGCGGCATACAGCACAGTGCTACCTATGTCCAACGATGGGAAAATTAAGGCCAAAGAAGGGAAGCAGAAACGCTTGGAAATAAGAAACTTAGAAAGCTGGAAGCTGCCTACAATTCATAGGATCATATCACAGAATGGTTGGGTTGGGAGGGATCCCAAGGATCATGGAGCTCCAACCCCCCTGCCACAGGCTGGGCCACCAACCTCCCCGTTTAATACCAGACCATGCTGCCCTGCTTTACTATTAGTATAGAATGGCTTGGGTTGGAAGGGACCACAAGGATCATCATCCAACCCCCCTGCTGCAGGCAGGGCTGCCAACTGCTAGGTCAAGTACTAGATCTGATTGCCCATGGCTAGTGGTTTGGGGTTTTTTTGCTTGTTTTGCTTTCTGCTAATACTATTTTCTTATTTTATTGTGTGTGTGGCATTGGTGGATGAATTTGAGGGAGTACTTGCACTGAAAATATGGGGGAGTCATTTTTATCAACACAGGAAAGTATGGTATACGATTTTTTTTATTCAGTGTAGTGAGGCATGTGCTCTTCTGTTTTCTTCAAAAACACTGAGATTATATACTGATTTTTTCTTTCTGTTTATTCTACTCCCTCTTGGTGATTCGCTTTTAAGTTAGCAACTATGATGTGAAATTAAAATTTGGACTGTCAGCAATGGCCTTTTCAGTATTCACAAACATTGCTTTTCGAGGGCTTGTTTTGTGCGATTGGCAGTGAGAGAAATTCTGCAGATTCTCAGCACTGGAAATGGGTTTCTTTGGTATGTAGGAAAATGAATGAAGAGGCCATTCAGTTCACTAGGTGGGCAGACTGCATGCTTCCAGGTGATGCAGCTGCTGCTGTTCCATGCAGTGAGCTCCCCAGCTTCACATGGGCACAGCACCTAGTAGAAAACTGATTTCGTTCAGGCATTCAGCAGCTCTTGTTTTGGTGTCAGAGGAATGCTGCTGTTGAGCACATTGGTGAAGGCTGTCCCAGCTGGACAGCTGGTTCCACGTTTCTGTGGGATGCCTGGCGCTGCGCTGGCATTGCCAGAGGAAATCCTTTGGTACATGGCTGTGCTGCTTGGATTGTACCATTCCCCAGGTGCTTGTCCCATAGCTTTTCCCCTGGCTGTTGCCTGGCTTGCTGTACCGTTTCATCAGCGTTTAAGGGCTGGAAAACTGGTTCTGGGTGTTATCTGTCAATTTGTCAGTACCACTCAAGTACTTGTTACTTCTGAATTTCTGTGTGGGAGAGCACCCACCATCTGAAAGCAGAGCACATGCAGTCAGGTTTCTCTGTTAATTAGTTGCAGGGAGGCTCCAGCAGCTTGCAGGGGGATCCCTGCCTGTTTCCTGCTGGGGAGGATGCAGGTTTGGGGAGGCACCACCTGGCTGAGTTGGTGCCTGTCTTCTTTGAGGTCAGCATTTTCACTGGGTTTACGCTTTTAGTGCTTTGTGCTAACAGATCTGTGGAAACAGCACGTCTTGGTGCGAGAATGTGGAGGTGTGGACTAAAGGCAAAGGAATCCTTTACCATTTTGCCATCACTTGCAGGCTCAGTGGTGTACAGCGAGTTTGCTCTGAGCACAAAAAGCTTTTTTTGTCTGGATGCTGGGGACCTGGGAGGTTCATTGCATCGAGGTATTGATTCTGGGAGAAGCTGGTGCTAGGCATATTGCTTGCCTCCAGTCTGAACAAAGCAACAGAAAATAGAGGATAGACTAACAAATAAGTTTGATTAGGTGAATTAATAAGCCTTTTCTACTTTAATTTCAGAGTCATGGAACCACTTTTTAAAATGAAGAACAGGTTGACTTTTAAATGTCAAGTTGTCTATTTCAGGAAAGGAAAGAGGGGGAGAAACTCAGTCTTAAGACACAAAGCATGGGTAGCTCTAACCTGATACACCTGATTTTCTTATTGAAAGTGAAAGCTTCCTTTATTAATCTCTGAGATTGGCAGTCTGAGCATTCTGAGTTCTTCAGGTAACTGTACATTCATTAATAAACTGCTCATGGTATTGGGTGATGATTCATGCTTCTTTTTTTTGGAGATAATAGTATATATTTAGGTTTGGTTAAATGAGTGTTAACTCTTGGAAGGCAAAATGTGTTTTAAACGTATTTAGCATGTCACAGAAAATAGGATTGCAATCCTTAGTAGTTTTTTAAGCAAGTTTGCTTCCTCAGCTTTTTAATGATGATTTGTCTGGAAGCAACTGTAATGGACTTTTATTTATAACGCAGGGTAGCACATATTGCACCAAAACATAGGCAGTGGGCTTTGGTTTGTCAGGTCTCATTTTGTGATGTGCTGGCAGTTGTGGTGCAGTTGTGTTTATGTACTCTGTCACTTCCTGCTGGCCAGCTGCCATTCGGTGCAGTGCTGCCCTTGTTGCATTCTGGTTCTGCAGCAGAGATTGGCAAAAATAATAACACCAGACCTTTCTCTTAGCGGTGCTTAAATGTTGTAAATGAGCTGGTTTTCTCACATACCCTACTCCTGTGGTCAGTATCATCATGGTATCTGTGGCCATCCTGAGGTTTCTAGTTCTTAGCCTCTAGCCTGAATTTGCTGGGATGCAAGAGGAGAGCTGAAGGCTGTGCATGGAGATGGCTTGTGAAAATACAGAGATGTCAAGCAGGGTGAGTTGCAGCCCTGACTGAGGTGGTGAAGTTGCATGCCTCAAAAGCATAGCCCGTGTGATAGATTCACTAGAGAAGGCAGCATATCTCGGTTGAATAATGAAAAGGCAGGAAATTACCTCTGGAGTCATAACAGTAATGCAATTCCATCCACTTACTCATCTTCCTAAAGCACCTGTTATCTGCAGTCTGCATGTGATAATTGAAACGTAGCTCTGAAGGTCAGTGGAAGCAGTTTTCTGCCCCCCAGCTTCTGACAGCATGCTTTTTCCTCAGTGTTCATAGTTCAGAGGAGTGTAGGAGGAGAATAGGAGGGGTTCTTCTTGTTGTATGATGCTGTTGGAGAATAGTCTCTGTGGAAACGTGTAGCTTTATACAAGGATTTGGGCACTCCATTAAGCTGTCACTGCCACTGCTAAGAACAGCATCCACTTGGACAAAATGGTGTTCACCTCTATTTTACACTCAATTCTATGAGAAATTAGCGCTTCAAAACTTTCCATACAGTGCTGATCTTCAGTTTGCATCCCTTCTCATCTAAGCACCTAGATGTCAGTGCAGATGTGTTGGTGAGTGTTGGCACCCCATTGGCCATAGGCTGGTTGTGGCTGCATGCAGCTGGGGCCCAGGCAGAGGTCAGGGTGTCCTCACATTGCTTTGGAAGATGTGGCCCCAGTTCTAGGAGTACACCTAGCATGTAGGTGCGCCCTAGGACTCTCATGGTGCTTTTCCTATTAAATCAGTGAAGGTGCTTAGTAGGCACTGGGTGATGCTTCCAATTTTCTTTGGAGGATCTTCTGTACTGAGTTTGAGTCTTGCCCAAGGCTTAGGAAACTTAATATATACTCAGTTCTAAGAGTGGCAGTAGATTAAGGGGCCATTCAAGGGCGTGCTCACACAGATTGCAGACACTGGCCATTTGGAAATATGCAGAGATAAAGCTCCATACATTTTTCTGCATGCAGTTTTTGCTTGCAGTCCCTCAGGTGCTGCTGCTGTACCTTCCTCTTGCCCTCACTCCCATGTTGCTGAAATTGCTATCTTGCATCCACAGCTGAGCCATGCTGACAAAGGGTGAGAGCAAAAAGCAGTGAGGGGAAAGCGCTGGGCTGTGAAATGGATGGTTGCTTCAGAGAGGAGCCCAGCTTGGGATGATCAACAGGTGTGTTGCTAACAGCACTGGCAGGAAGATGCTGGCTTGAGGTCTGTGGTTTGTGGTGGGATCAGTGCACTGGTGGTGCTGTGTGTCAGCTTTGGGCTGTGTGGATATAACCAGGGAGCACAGCCGGTGCTGGATGCTCCTCAGAGCCCTGGCCCCAATGGATGCTGCCATTATTTTTAACAAAGGGGTGATTCTTTTGGTTTGTAATCTCATAGAGGTGGCATGAAATTAAATTAAAAGCTTTTTAGGCAACTGGACAGAATAGTGGTGAATGCCACGGTGTTGAGTCCCTGAGGAAATGAAGAGGGTTGCAGGGAGCAATGCTGAGCATGTGCTTCATGTCCCCAGTGCTGGGTGGAAGCAAGCTCTGCAGGGGACTGTTTCAGTACCCGATAAAGGTGATGTGAGCTTTTAATCCTGCCAATTGTACAGAGCTTGAATTTACAACCACCGTAAGATCCTCTTAGCGCTGCGTTTTGCTGTGGCAGTTTTAGGAAAGCCTGGCAATGCAGCTGAATTCTAAATTTGCATCCTGTTTTCTATTATAAAACCCTGCCTTTATTGCTTCCAGCGCTGCCAAACTGCAGGGTTTTGGGGCAGGGATTTCCCTGCTTTGTTGCTGTTTCAGATTAGCTTTGTTCTTTGCGGTGGTAGCTGGGAGACCTGGCATATTTCTCTTCCCTTTCTTCCCCTGAAGCCTTGGTACCCCAGATTTTAGTAAAATCCCAAATCAAAGCAATTTAGGGCCAGAGTAATGGGGAGAGCTTGGGGCCAGGGCTCTTGGCACCTGGTGTGTATTGCTGCATAGGAATTCGGTGGCCCAGCATTAGCTGGGCTTCAAGTGCTAAAGCAGGTCTGATTATTTTATTTTTTTTTTTTTTAAGTAGTGGGATGAGTATTTAATTGAAATGTTAATTATTAAAAAAGCAAAGCCAAACTATAATTGCCATTGACTTTATAATTGCTTGTCTGGCTGTCTCTATTTTAACCCCTGCAAACTGCATAGCTCCTGGCCACAGTGTTACAGAGGCGATGGTTCCTGCACAGTTGATTTAGAAACTACACTGGTTTGGGAATAGGAGATTTTTCCACTCATCCCTCCGACTGCTACAGTGCTGACTTTCACTGGGTTGTATTAAAGCGAGAATTGATGAAGAAAAGAATTCCTCTGTATGTTGAAGTGCTCGGGGAGGACGTGCTTTTGTGTCAGCTGGTGCTGAACAAATAACTGTGCTACTCAAGGCTACAGAAGCCAATTACAGCTGCTGCGGTGACGGGCTGTGTGGGGGTGAAGGCCTCTGCCATGTTTTTCTGTTTTTTTCCCTAATAAAGATCTATGTCATTTTTCTGTTGGTTTTTTTTTTTCCTTTGTAATTTTCTTTCTATCACTAACCGTTCCTGTTGACTAGCATGAAAACAAATTGTGCTCACTGGAAGCAAGTGTTCCAAAGCCCATACAGTTTTAAATTAACCGGCCCTGCTTTGCTGTGATGAGAAAAGGAGCTGCTGGCTGTGTTTACGTGGCAGATGAACAGCTTTATTGATTATTACGTAGTAAAATAGCACTTCAAGCAGATTTCTAAAAAGCTTATTTAAATTGTTCTGTCTCCTCCATCTCATTTGTTCGAGTGAAGTGAAACTTAAACATAAGTTTCTTTATAAAGTGTGCTGGAATTAAGATGAGTGGGTTAAAATGCGGACCCAATTTATGAGAATGTTCTTTCTGAGAATCTCACAATGTCTTGGGTTGGAAGGAACCTTCAAGATCATCCATTTCCAATCATGAAAGTCCTTTGGCTGTGTCCCCTTTCCCTTCCTACTGTGCCCCAGCACATTTGGGGCACCCCTAGGAGCTGGAGGCTGCACAGAGACAGCAGCAGGCAGCACTGATTCCTTTCCATCCACCCCACAGCCAGCTCAGCCAGGAAGCAAATACTCTGTGGGTTTCTTGTTCCCATGCTAGGAAAGGCAGTGGAGCAGTAAGGCTTGTCCTGTGTTTTGTTTTGCAGGTGCTGGGACTGCTAACCTCTGGTTCAGCTCCAAGGCTGTGCATGGGGACGTGGCTGAAGCACAGCTCCCAGCGCTGGCGTGGAACGCAGCGTATGACGGTACGAGTGAGGTGTCCACGTGTGGTCATCTGACTGAGCAGACAATCCCAGAGCTGTGGGGGCTGGAAGGGATGCATGCATTAGGAGCCAAGCACAGCTGCATTTGCATTTCTGCACACTGGTGATTTCAGACCTATGGATAAACCACACACCCCGTTGCATCAATCTGGCTCTGGTTCTGCTCAATTTCTTGACACTCCTTTTTGCATTATCATTTTGCTGTGAATGGAATCAAGCCCTGCAATTATTAGCAGTTTTTGCTCTTTGTGTAAAAGAAATGGAGGGGGATGAAGGTGTGACTGTTTGCACCTAGGACCTGATAGGTTCTGGGGGTGTTGGCTGCTGGTGTGGAGCTCGGCTGGGGGCTGGGATGGAAGAGCCCTGGCTGCAAGCACTTTTTAAGTGAATTTTTCAGAAGGCTGCTGAGGGGCAGCTGTGTGCTGAGATGGGGAGGTTTAGATCAGATTTATCACAGGATGGTTGGGTTGGAAGGGATCATGAAGGATCATGAATCTCCAACCCCCTGCCGCATGCAGGGCCACCAACCTCCCCATTTCATAGCAGCCCAGGCTGCCCAGGGCCCCATCCAACCTGGCCTTGAACACCTCCAGGGATGGACGGGGCATCACAGCCTCTCTGGGCAGCTGTTCCAGCACCTCATTGCTCTCATAGGAAAGAACTTAAATAAGTTTTAGTGAGAACTATTGATGATCAGTGGATCGTTGGGCTGGGTGATCCTGTGGGTCTTTTCCAATCTTGGTGATTCCATGATTCAAATGTAGTGTTGCAGGGAAGAGCCTAAAGAGGTGTATGGGTAACTGCAGTGTCTTTTGCAGGTGTCTTTGCTGCTGCTATGGCAGTACTCAATTTTTTTCCTTCAGGACTAATTCAAAACAAAACAGAACAAATTGCTTCTAGTCCTTGCAGGACATATTTAAGGCAGCACTGTAAACACAGTATTTGGGGCGAAAGAAAACTTCTTTGTGTTAATGTCTAATGTTCAAAGAAGTTCCCATATGTTTTTTCTTCAGTACTCCAGCAAGAACTGGTTGCAGTATGGGTTAGAACTGTCTGTTAGCACTACTTTGACCTTTTGCATGCTCTTTGTTAAAATATATTACATTGTATTAGGATATCATTAAGATGATTGAGCTATACATGGTGTGCTTCTAAATAAAAGCACTATGGAGACTACGTATGAAATCTGTAAATTTAAATAGCTGGTATTCATGGACGAGGGTGGAAAGGGCTTGGGCTGAAAAATGAAAAGTGCCTGCGTACTTCATGTGGAAGTACAGCGTTGAGGTGTTTACTTTTTTCAGTTCAGACTGTATTTGTTAGCTAATTGAGCCCTTTTCTTCTTTTAATCACAGTGGGATGCATGCCTTTGCTTCCATGTTGGATTTTAGCTCTGGGAGTTTGGTGCATCTCAGCAGCGGCGTTCTTTCTTTAGCGCTTCAGCTGGAAAGGAAGCAAAGCGATGAGGAGATTTGTTTACTGCAAGGTGGTGCTGGCCACTTCTCTCATGTGGGTGCTTGTGGACGTCTTCTTACTTCTGTACTTCAGTGAATGTAATAAATGCGATGACAAGAAGGAGAGGTCCCTGCTGCCTGCTCTGAGGGGTGAGTGCCAAGTCTGAGCCATCTCTCGTGGCTGCAGATTTATTATTATTTTGTTAATTATCTTTCTCATATCTTTCTCTGTGCTTCCTAAATTATTTTTCCAATTCAAACAGACAGAATACCAAGATCTGAAGTACTCTGTTTTATTTCGCTGGTTTCACAATTGCAGATATCTTAGTTCTGACCTTTTACCATATTGAAGCCTGAGCCTTGTACATTATTTTTTTTTTCAGTGAAAGCAATATTAAATGTCTGGTACATAGAAGAGAAAAAAATAATTATTATTTGGTAATCTAGTATTGGAAGTCATTCTTATTATTAGAGAGGAAAGATTCTGCTTGTGTAGAACGTACATAGAAGTAAGAGGTAAGCTTCCCCTGCCTTTTTCGTCGTAATTATTGCTCTGTAAATGATTCATGAAGACAACTTTGCAGTAGGTGCACAGTGTAAGTGGTGACAGTTCACAGACTGAACACAGCTGTCAGAAGTCTCCCTCTGATGTCTGTTGCATCTTGAAGCATACAAGTGACAAGTACAAAAGCTGGGTGCTGTAACAGTGAGCTGTGCTGTGCTGGTTAGTGACATTGCTTAACAACTTGCAAGTGTTATCCCAATTAACACAGAGCTGGCTTCCAGTCAAGCTGTCTTTACTTTTATCTATTTTTGTACCACGATTGAAGGAAAATATGCTTATTTCTTATACCTCCTTCCTGCCCTAGAAGAAAATTAATACTGGTCAGTATTTAGCAGTCCCTGCTTATCAATGGCATATGCAGAAATTTTGTGAAAATGTCAGCATTCTGCATCCTTTTAGTGTGGGCTCTGCATCTGTAGGCTTGTGTTCTCCTCTTGCTGCTTTCCCCATACCGATACTGTAGGATCACAAGATCTCAAGGTGGCAGAGGAGTAACTTCCCAGGGCATGGACCAGACAGGGTGTGGGATGCTCTTCCAAAAGCAGTCAGTAGAGTCAGAAAAGGTTTGTAGTCCTTCCTTTCCTCAGAGGCACCTCGTGTCTTGTAGCAAACTGCATAAAAGCAGAGATTTCTCTGGAAGCTCAAGTTTTGTCTGGAATTTCAGCAGATTTAGAGCATTTCAGAAAACTGTAAGAGAGGTAAGTTTTATGGAGAGCATCGCATGAAGTGGAAGCTGGGTCTGGCCTCTCTCTGGGCTGAAGCACCTGAAGCACACTGAGGCAGCCAGTGAGAGGGGTCTCAGAGGGCATCTCTTGGCTTGCATGCAGGGCTGCTCCCCTCTGCTCCTTCCTGCAGGAGAAGGGACCACGGCTGTGTGATGTGGGAACATCCAGAGCCAAGGTGTGCTGCTTGAGCCAAGGCTCTGAGGGACAGGGAAAAGTTGGCAAGTTTGCAAAAAAGCCTGTAAAATACAGTGTTAGTATTGAGAACAGTTCTGTTTCAAATGCTTTTTAAAAGATATAAGGACAGCTCGGTTCTGAACTTTTGTGGGATTTTTTTGGTAATTTGTTTTTAAATGGGTGAAATGACAGAGATGAATGCAGCAGTTGCTGGCCCAAGGGAAGAGATTGGAAATGAAATCTGATGTTGTGAACTAATTGCATTTAATCTAATATTTCTAGCAGATGGTTCTTCTGAAACATGCAAGGCTTGCAAAAGGCAAGGCAGGGTGCCTTCAGGTCTGGCTGAAGAAATAATCCTTCTTGTATTTAAAGCAGGAGTGCTTATGCATGGACTGGAGCTCAGTTTGCTCAGCACGCTGAGCTTCTAACAAAGGAAGTGCTGTTTAACTCATGGTAGTCCAATGGCCTGGAGCTTTATCAGTTCAGCTTTAATTTTGTTTTCCATGAATTGGAGGAGTTCTGAGGGACTCGAGAGGCTCGTGCTTTGGCTCCTGCAGCCCCATCCTTCCCACAGCAATGCCTGGGAGATCAAGTGAAGGCCAGCATCCCTTTGGGTTGTGTGCTGCGGGGGGCTGAAAGCTTAGGATGCGTCTGGGGGACAGAGAAAGGTGCTGTGGATTTGGAATGGAAAAATACTTTCCTGCAGAAAAATACTTGGATCTTTTAATTTCAAAATCAAAACTGTTAATTAAATACAACATTTTCTGTTACAAAAGCTGTCTTTGGAGATTACTTGTTTAGAAGCTTTTGGAAAATACCTGTTGAACCTGGGGAAGTCAAAGCTCTCCAAGCAATAAAGCAGGGATCGCGTGCATTGACTGAAATAGTAATTGTTAGGGAGTGTGATTATTTTAATTAAAATGAGCAAGGGTGATGAGATGGAATTGTATTTTTGACTGCTTGTCTTTGCAGCATGACTCATGTTTTTGTAGCCTGCTGTATGCCTTAGACTTTCATAAAGTAGTGTCAACTCCGTAATGTTTTTGTCTAATGTTTTAATGCAGATTTCTGTTCCTGTATTATGAACTGTATTCTGAAGTAGTACAAAAGGGCTTTCATAAAATCGGTACAAGTTATTAAATTGCTATTTTGAGGACAACTCGGTGTAAGGGAAAGGTTCATTTATTCAAACCCTGTAATGTATTTCTGTTTCGAGACAGAAAAGGTCTGTTGTGATCATGTAAAGCAAGTGAATGAAACATTGGGCTGCGGTATGAAAAGTTTGGGGTTATGGCCAAGCTTAGAAAAGAAGGCATTCATTTTGGTGGTTTCCATGGTAACGTGTTTATCTGTCAAATTACTGTATGCACTGGGCTGTCTGCATTCACAATGGGAGCAGATATTTTTTAATAGCATGCCATAAAGATTTAATGGATGGAGGGATGAATATGTACATTGCGCTCAAGTCTTGCCACAAATTTGTTGACAAACAAAACTTGAAGTGCTGATTTGGGTATTGTGACGGGGCAGTGGGCTAATTTCTAGATCAGTTTCTAGAGATCGAGGGGAAAGCTGGAGCATAGCAGATGCCTTTATCTGGTTGCAAACATCTAAAAAGAGAAGAAAGCTTTCCTCAGAGATCTGGTGCCCCCTGATCGGAGCAAGCAGGCTGCAGAGGAGCCACATTTTCCAGCAGGCTGTGGAGGACCAATGGCAGGATGTGATTTCCAGCTGATGGGTAGGTTTTTAGATTTCCTTTTTCTGTTCAGCAGATGATTCATAAAATTACTGGCAATTCTTTCCAGCCAGCAGCTCTCCTTTTTGTGGAGTACCTATCACCTTTTAGACCCGCTTGCTTGCACATCCTTTCGTTTTGTGGGAATTAATAAGTGATTCTTGGAAGCTGTGTGCTTCCAGCATCTGTTTTAATAATGGATACTGTCGATGAATTATGGCTCCTTTTTGTTACTGATGCCATGCTTTAGGCCTTGAATGAAGCTTCATTGATTTCAGGAAAGCTCTGCAAACACTGTCTACGTGCTCAAGCCCGGTTGCAAGAATTGAGGCTTAAAAATGAAGCTTGATCTGCCATCAGCCTCTTTTAATCCGCTGTTAAGCAGTCCCTAACTTGTTCTGAAAATAACAGTGTAGCTGAGCACAGCAGAGTAGGTTTCCATCCTTTGTGAGTTCTGTGTAGGTGTTAAGAAGTACAAGAAGACATTGGAGCAATGAGAACTGCAGAGAAGTCATAGAGCATTGGAAGGGGGCACAGCACGTTGGGTGGCTCTGTGCTGCAATTCATCTGTTTTGCAAAGGGAGAGAGAGGTTTTTATAATACTGGCTTTAAGCTATGGTTCTTGTGATTACTGTTGTGGTTGTTTTTCCCCTTGTGAAGAATCAGTGATATGGAATTGGGGGGCAACTTTTGCAAGAAATACTAATTGGTGTTATCACTGAGAAACACTTCTCGATTATGTTTCTCTGTAGTAGTGCAGTATGAGACTTGAATAACAATTACAGATCATGATATCTGTGTGAAGCCCTGGTTGTTTGTGTATCTGAGTGCTGCTCCTGGTGACTGTTTTCTGTAGCTGTCGTGCAGAGTACTTCTCTATCTGGAATGAAAGTTTTTCAGCTGCAGACGTTCTCAGGAGCCCTGATTGCCAAACCTGACAAGCTGAGGTGTGCATTCATCTGCATAATAAAGAGTGAAGAATCAGAGTGGAATTTATTCCAGTGTCGTCCTTCTTGTCCTTGGGAGCCTAGTCTGTATTAACAATCAATTAATAAGAAAACGAAGCCAAAACAAGAACCCCAGGCTCTTACCGTGCAGAAAAATGAGCGAGATGAGTACACACCATTGGGTACTTTGTGCCCCCTGTGATATCCCAACTACAGAGAGGTGTTGTTCACCTTCTTGTTGGGGTAGGAAGGCCTGTGGTTAATGAGAGCTCTGGGTGCCTCCCAGTTCCCATGTTACATGGCAGTGTTACAACAGTGCAGTGGAGAGGCTGTGGATGCCCCATTCCTGGAGGTGTTCAAGGCCAGGTTGGATGGGGTACTGGGCTGGGCAGCCTGGGCTGGTATTAAAAGGGGATGCTGAAGCTTGGTGATCTTTGAGGTCCTTTCCAACCCAAGCCACTCTATGATTCTATGATATGAATTTCTGCATCAAACCAGTGTAACTTTTGACACTTTTGTCTTGAGTTTCATCCTGAATAGTTACAAGCTTTTCTGAGGCTGAGCAGCAAAATAAAACAAACTATTTTTGTTCAAATGGTCCATTGGGTCGTATAACTAATGCTTGTGTGTACACTGTGTGGAGTTTCTTCCTTTTGGGGGTTGGACTCGATGATTTCTGGAGGTCCATTCCAGGCCCTACGATTCTGTGATTCTGTGTGATTCCTTTCCTGTCTGTTAAGGTTGGAAGCAGCCTGGAAACATTTAGCCCCTAAATCTCTTAATAGTTTGTCACCATGCCTGGGCTTAGCTGTGGCAGAAATAGCCCTTTCCTCCCGAGGGTCATCATTAATTACATACTCCATGGCTGTTCTGTGTGCAGAAAACCTGTAGCAGGGCTTTAAAAATTGGAGCTTTGGGATGGGATGAAGGAGAGAGGAAAGCTGCATGTGTGCTGTGTGCTTCCTGAGCCGTTCTGCAAAGCCATGCAGGTGCAGTGTGAA